CCAAACCAAAAAAATTTGTTCGTTACCTTCAAAAAATTTGCAAACCCTTCATAAATAGTCTAGCTCTGCCACTGTGAAAGCCTATCCATTTTCAGCCCATTTACGTGCCTAAAATCAAGCAAAACCCATTAAAAAATCTGTCCAAAATTATGCACAAACTCGCTAAGCCCTTTTTGAAATATATCAGAAAACCTCCCTAACCTAATCCCCTAAAAAAGAACAGTCGCTCCCTTTCAATTTCTCTCTATTTGATTTCAGAAAATTTCCAAAATGCTTTCGGTAAAAGCAGGACTATGTTCTTCCATTTTTGTGCAAAATTGTAGTGCTTTGAAACTCTCTCTTTCATATTCAACTAATCAATCAACACAAGAAGCCAAAAGACTTTTTGAAAATATGAATTTTTTTATGCAGAAAATCACTTTAGCAACTTCAAACGACTCATTTTGGGACTCCAAGATCTACCCGTGACCTCCCTCCTCTGTAAAATTTGAATTTCAAAAATAAAAGATTTTCTTACTCATAAGAACATCATACATGGTCGAAGTTATTCATAACGTTAGCTATCACCATCCTTGCCAAAATTCTTGTATTTTCTGTTTGCTTTTATCGAACTCATTAGGTTCGAGGGGTGAATCTGATCATAACGAGAGAGTAGATTCTACGCTGACGTCCTAGTTCACTACACTACAAAAGGTAAAATCTGATTCTTCTATTTAGTTAAACATTTGCGGTCATGTTAGAAAAAAAACAAGAGTTATGCATTTCTTTGTCCGTAGTTATATTACAGTTGCTATTATATAATAATCTCTTTTTAGTTGTGAAAAATCTGATTTCAATCATATAAATGGAGTTGTCATGTACAACTATATGTTCTGCTATTTTTTTTAAAAATAAATTAAAAGGACCCTACTAATTTTGTGTGATAAATTGACTACTTTGGTTTGGATTTAGATATGCTAGTATGTAGAGAAACTGTACTTACGCTCAACTAGGAATCTAGAACTATGATTTGATATAGTAATCGTGAAAGGATAATCTTACCCACTCTCTGTTATATTAATCTTTAGAGATATATTTGTGAGGGATGTTTTGTGTATATTTAGTTTGGCCAAGTATGTGGAACATCTAGTTTGCCATATAACTTTCGACTAACTATTCTCTTTTTATATATAGTATCAAGAATCAAATTTCCTCATCTAACTCTTTTCTCATGTTTATTTGGCATGAAAATCGGAGCAGATGAGTCTCCTTTTGAGACTAAACGACACCGCTACAGCATGGAGCTTGCATATCCCTCACATGGAATTGATCATATATATTTCTGTGACACTACACCTATTCGCTTTTCCTATTCCCTATTTCTAGATACGTGTCCGGATAAAACGAGACATTATAGTTAATTAGTTGTCTAGCGCATTACTTACCGTTATGCTTACTTATTTGTTTGGTTTGCTGTTATGTTACAAGAATTTGCACAAATCTGCTTGAATGACTTAGTAATTTATCACTAGTTAGTATCTTATTCATGTTTATAACCCTTTTTTACTCCTAGATTTAATGACCGTATTTGAATAATTTGGCAAGTTCTTTGATTTGTGATAAAAATCAGCTAACCTTTATTTTATTTAATGTATTAAATCAGATTTTTTTTTGGGATTGATTTGTAATACTATTTTTCTTTACAAAAACCACCTTGTTTCTCTTTTAGTAAAGCCTTTTGGAGGCTCTATTTACTTTTCTTTAAATATAAATAACTAGACTATCTTGGACCCCAAAAACTACCTTTTTGAGTCTATAACATATTTCATTAATATCGTACACAACTTTTAAAATCAAATTATTAGTCTCAAAGCTTTTTCGATCTCAATCCGTCTAAAATGGAGTTTTGGATTTGTGATTTTAAGTCAAAAATGATTTTATTTTGATCACTTTTATTTAAAAGTTTCTTGGTAGTAACTTTGTTTCCATGGTTTTGACAAAATAAGGAATAATTTATTTAAACTTAAATTTATCCATGTAAGCTATTTTTAGACATAAAGTTTGTACTTTTATATTTTATTCAAACACTTTTTAAAATGCTAATATTTTATTTTGGCACTTAGCCTAATCAATTAATCAAGTTTGGTTGGTTAACCATTTTTAATGGATTTTAAAGGATGTCTAACCCCTTCCCTTTAAATTAGTTGAGCCCTTACCTAGAATCTTATGTTTAGTAGACCTTAATGGAGTTAACTTTAGATAAAAACTTTAATCATTTTAGGTGTCTTAATTCACTTTAAATAATTAGATGGCGGCTTCTTAAGTTAGTTATTAATTTGGAAATCACCAAAATGTTGTACACTATCTTGACCCGGTTAAAATGGGATATAACAAATGAAAGTTTGAATGTCATGAATATATTGACCATGAGTTTTTTCTAAAAAAATAGTAATTGATCAAGTGTTTTGACTTTTGAGTATATGTGAATTGTGTAAATATTATTGAGTTGGAAATTGATGAAGTGGTTTTGAAGTTAGAGAATATGAATTACAACTTAATTAGAACTTATAATTAATCATAACTTGAAATTATTCTAACTTGAACTTAATTAGGAATATGAACTTGAAATATTGTTAACCATAATTAATTAGAACTTACTTTTGAACTTTATTAGAACCTAAATTTAATTTGAACTTAATTAGAACTTTGAAGTACTTGAAATCTATTGACCTTAATTAAAACTTTATTGAACTTAATTAATTTATAATAACTTGAAAAGCTAATTAGGAATATAGACTTAATTAGAACTTGAACTTAATTTGAATTTAATTAGTGTTTATGAATTAATTAAGCTTCAACTTTGTAGATCTTGAAATGTAGTATTTACGAGCTAATTAATAATTAGGTATATAAATTAGCTAAATATATAAGTAATAATAAATATAATTATTAAGTAATTATAAATATATATTAACAATATAATTTAGTTTAATGTAGTTAAATTATTATTAAATTTAATTTATAATTGAATATCTATATTTTTGTAGATGGATCATCGTTTGTGGAGGTATAATATGCATTATGAAACTGGTGATGATTTGAAACTTGAGTTTATTGTTAGTGTTAGATGTTTTATTGAACGTACAATGACACTTGATATTTACAAGAATGGAAAGAAAAAGATGAAAGGTGATTTGACTATACAATTGCATTTGCAGGGGCATTTGGGTAATCTTCGAAGAACAATGACATGTGTGAATGCGGTGGACGTGACAACTAGTACTTACCTCTATAAATAGACAACGAAAAACCTTATGACTCACTTTTCTTTTTCCTCACTGAAATAGTTAAAAGAAACTTAGATACTACCACAGCTATGAAGAAAGTAAATGTCAAACATGAAAAGTTGGATGAATCTATCGAATCTTCTAGGGCTCCAAAGAAAGAAGAGAATGTTTTGTCTGCCAGCTATGGAAACTCTTCAGGTATAGAATTTTTGTTTTCTCCAAAAGATTTGATTTAGAATTTTGGCTCTATCCATATATTTTAATTTATCTTGAGAAGAAGACTCATATTCAGTCAAGCCTCGAACTGTTAATTGGGCTTTGAGAAAATGGTGACTTCCAAAGCATGTAACAACTTTCAAGTCACAATACAAGGCACCCTGTTTAATGTGAAGTTGTATCTGCTTCCACTATCGTCAAATTGTGAAATGGTAGTAGGAAACCAATGGACACTTCAATTTGACGACAATGGAAGCAGATACAACTTCTCATTAAACAGGGCACACTGTGACTTGAAAGTTGTTACATGCTTTGGAAGTCACCATTTTCCCAAAGCCCAGTTAACAGTTCGAGGCTTGATTGGATATGAGTCATACCCTAGCTTATCTGTCAAAGATTCATCAATAAAATTTTGAGTAGTCTCAGTCCCTCCTACAAAGATTAGGATATTCAAGGGTCGCTTCTCATGGTATCTGGTCAGGCAGCGAGAATCTTTGAATGACTCAAAAAATTGTAATATAGCGATCCTTGAGATCCACATGTCCATTTCTTCTTCTTCTTCCTTTATAGTCACGGGATAACTTTCCCATCTTCCACCTTAGGGAAATCAAGCATCATTATCATTAGTTACTATTATAGTTACTATGTTTGAGTATCTGTAGAAGACTCCTATTGTTTAGGAGTATAGGTAGCAGTTAGTTTCCTTTAAGTTTAGCCGTAGGTTGTTATTAGCAGTTGTATTTAAAGCTCGACTACTGAATTAATAAAATCATCTTTCGACTACTTTTTCTATCTGATTTTATAAGAACATACAAAATATGAAGTGGTTTATCATGTCTTGATGCATGAAGTTCTTACAAGAATCTTGTTGCATACTCTGCACCTTTGACTAAGCATCTGAATTTTGTTCAATTTGTTGTATGCAGCTTTAGCTTCTTGTAGTAGATCATTGAACTGATAGATGTATGCCCCTTTAAACTCCAGTTAGCCATTGCATCCACTATTTAATTTCCTTTTCTACAGCAATAATAATGCCATTGGTTTGATAAAGAGACTTCCTTGCTTTAAGCCTTTAACCACAATACTATCAAGGTGCCAAGGAAGGAATACCCTTTCCCTGCATAATATCAGCAATCCTGTTACTATATTGAAGTGTTATCCACCTTAATTAGAAGCTCCAAATCTAGTGGCTCTCAACACCTTAAATATTCCCACATATACTTGTATATATGTCTGAATTTTCGTAACTCCCAACATATGATGGAAAGCATAATTTTGATAATCTCCTAGTGTAATAGTTGAGTATTTTGATACTCTGACACTTCAAAACATTCTCATTTTTGAGTAATATCTTTCAAGATTACACCCATAGGGCCTGCAAATGATCTCATTAAAATAAAACATAATCTGAACTCATGTATGTTGAACTAACTATATATCCTCACTAAAATTTCCATTAAAAGATGTTATTGAAGAAAACAACAACATAATAAACCAAACCACTTACAACTACTGAAATTAACTACTGGGACTTGGACATGGAGGAATTGGAATATCAATAATTCCCTGCAACATGTGTAATACTTTTTTCATGGAAGGACGAAGAGCTGGTTCGTCCTGAATGCACCAAATCGCCACAGAGATCATTCCTTCCAAGGTTTTCTTGTCTACTTCTTCACTTCCAACAAGCTTGTCTACTTCACCTTCAACAAGGCAACTATATGCCCATATAGAAAGCTGGATTTCTTCTATTTTAGTCACACAGACTTCAATGTTTCTTCTGCAGCAAATGATTTCTAGCAATACAATACCATAGCTGAAGACATCAACCTTGACAGAGATGGGGGCATTTGTTTGCCACTCTGGTGCTAAATACCCTCTAGTCCCTCTTACACCAGTGAAAGTTCTTGTTTGATCAGGCATTAGCAGCTTGGCCAGACCAAAATCTGAGATTTTAGCTGTCAACAACTCGTCGAGTAAGATGTTTTGTGGCTTTATATCACAGTGGATAATTGGAGCTTCACATTCTTCATGGAGGTAGAGGATTCCCCTGGCCACATCTAGTGCAATATTTACTCTTAGATTCCAATCCGGCCGAGTAGCTCCTCGGAACAACAGATTTGCTAGGCAACCATTGCTCATATATTCATAAACAAGAGCTCTTTTTGATCCTTCAGCACAATATCCAAGCAAACGAATCAAGTTTTTGTGTCGAGTTCTACCTATGACCCTCATTTCTGCTTTGAACTCCCTTTCACCTTCTTCCACTACCTTCTCTAGCCTCTTCACTGCTACAAGGTTTTTACCTTTGTCAAAGCTCCCTTTATAAACTGCTCCAAAAGCACCCTTTCCTAATTCCTCTTTGAAACCATCCGTTGCCTGTTTTAGCTCCTTGTAAGAGCAAGTTTTGAGTATGAAATCTTTCGTTAAGCCTGTGGTTCCTGTCTGAAGTAGCTTCCTGTACTTTATTATCCGGAATTTGAAGACATAAAAGCCTGAAAATGCAAGAGCAGTACCTGAATACATAACGAAACTTATCGATAAAACCAAGATCACCACCCATGGTGGCTTCACTGAATCCGTTGTTGGATTTTGCACTGCTAGATTGCTGACTTTGAAGTAAGCAGTGCGAGATCCTTCAGGAGCACCTTTGACATACCTCAGAGGCAGCTTGTGTTTCATACACTGGCCAGTTTCATCGAAAAGAGCAGCATCACAATCACAGTCCTCCAAACAAGATTTACCACAATCTTCTTTTCCTAGAAGTGATGTAACAAAGTAAGGAGGATCCTCCCAGGTCAAATTGGTTGTGGTAGTAATCTTGTAGACACTTACATCTTCTTTCCCATTAATGCACTTTCCTCTGGTGAAGTTCCTTTGACAATCACCAAAGCTTGGATCATTCTCTCTCAAGTATGACCCTGGTAGACACATACAAGACGGTGCATTGTGATTACTTCCAACACAATAGCCATTAAGGCCACAGAAACCCTTCACAAGACAAATATCATCAATTGCCTCCCACTCCACTACCATTTTAGAATTCCCATTGGAGTTGAATTCGTGAGAATAGAGACGAAAATTCCCATCATAATCTAGAGTGGCCCGATAAATAGCTCTGTCATTCTGCACAAGTGGAGTGTATAATTGTCGAAGTACTGATGAATCGGTGTTATTGATCAGAAATAAGATGCCAGTGCTGTTAAGAAGCAGGAGATTTCTGCAACCATCACAATAAATTTGTGAAGACCAATAGGCATCCACTGGCCGAAACAAGTATCTGGGGTATGCAACAAGGTTCCCATCATCCTGCATCAAGAGGCGAAATCGCCCCGAGGAATGATTTGTGGAGGAGAAACTAGAAACCAATTTACCCCCACTTGTTAATTTCTGGCCACCTAAAATTGTATCAGTAGGAGACCTGAAGCTCTCATAGATAGCTTCATGATCTTGATTGTAAAGAACAAAGTTACCGTTATCAAGCAAGTTGGCATAAGAAGCAGATTCTGATGAACTAGCTGCAACAGTCTTATCCTCACTGTTATTTGTTTTCAAAACTACAATTCCATCAATGAAAGCCAAGGTAGAATCAGCAGATATTTCTGGATCATCACGGGACACGGTCCACACAATAGTGTTATTGGAGCCTCCCACTAACCAAATTCCCACCTTGTAACCACTTCCTTGTGGATAAAAACCGAAGGCGAAATGACCTGAAGCTGAGTACCATGCTGTAGATTGTCCAGTGGGATGAAGAGAAGATCCTAATCTTATTGTATTAGGTGGATTTGATTGAGCTCTAGCGGATCCAAAGATAAACAACACAAGTAAGAAATAGAGAGCCATGATATCAATGGGGGAGAAATTAAAGAAGGACTAGTTCTAACTGTTAACATGGTTGAAGAAGATAAAAAAAAAAAAAAAACTAAAGAAGCGGTTAAGTCAAACAGAACATTTTTTCAAGAAATATCCATGAAGAAGCTGGGAACATTACCTGGTCAAGTCGTCTATTAAGTCTTCTTAATAGAAAATAATAAAGAAGAGTTTAAATGCTTTGATGTGATCCACAAGTCAATTCACTAAGTCATCCTGAGAAAAGTTTATCAAAGATAGGAGAGATGAACAATTAATTCTACTTTTTTGTGCAAGAATTCAAAACTTGAAAACAAGGGCTGAAAAGGACTACAAAGAAAAAAATTGCAACTACTCCTTTTCGTCCATATAATTAGTACTCCCTCCGTCCCTATTTACTTGTCCATATTTCTTTTTTTAGTTGTTCCTATTTAGTTGTCCATTTTGACAAATCAAGAAAGGACAACAAATTTTTTCCTATTATACCCTTATTACACTTTTTGAAAATTTTAAAAGTGTATGTTGTTTCCCTCCAATTTATTTCACTTTAATTCAAATAAGTGGTTGTAATTTTGAAGTGAAAAGTTGTCATAAGGGTAAAATTGTAACTTCACTGTGCTAATCATTGTTGCCTTAATCTGTGTGTCATTTCTAAAGTGGACAACTAAAAAGGGACGGAGGGAGTAGAAAATTATTGTCTCTAGTTCTTCATTTTCATAAATTCTTTTTCGTCCATATTAGTACAAAAGTAGTTTTTTCTAATTTTATGTTAAGATAGATTTAGTGTAATTGTGTCCTTATCTTAATTTTATCTAATAATCTTATTTTATATATAGACTCTACCCCATACCCTACTTTTTCTTATAGGTTTATACTTCAAACTGTTGATTTACGACATTATCTAACGATGAGAAACAATACAATCTACCAAATGTTGTATTCATAAAAACAATACAATACAAATACACAACACAATACAATATAATATGATACATTTTGAATGAGATGTAGCAACCAGCCAAATGAAGTGTAAAAGACTTAATACCATGCCAAAAATGGTATATCCATAGTACCTTCTAACATGAGAACTACATTCCTCATAGAAGGGCGCAGATCAGGATTATCGTGAATGCATAACAATCCAACCTTCACCATCCTCTCCAAGGACTTCACATCTACTTCCTCATCTCCCACTAGCTTACTGATATCATTCTCGACAAAGCATTTGTGTACCCAATTAGGAAGAAAGATTTCATCCTCGGTTGAGACGTTGACATCCATATTACTTCTACAGCATATGATCTCCAAGAGCATTACTCCGTAGCTATAAACATCTACCTTATCGGAGATCAAAGCACTATTCTGCAACTCTGGTGCCGAATATCCTCTTGTTCCTTTAAGCTGAAGTTGGTTTCCTACTTGATCAGGCACCAGAAACTTTGCAAGCCCAAATTCAGAGATTTTAGCCGTCCACGAATCATCTACTAGGATATTGTGTGGCTTTATGTTGCAGTGAATTATGCAAGTCTCACATTTTTCATGCAGATAAAGTATTCCCCTTGATATGTCCAGTGCAAGTCTCATCCTTTGCTCCCAAGAAGGTCTTGTTTCTGAATTGAATATGATATCTGCGAGTGACCCGTTGCTCATGTACTCATACACAAGAATTTTTTCTGATCCCTCCAAGCAAAAACCAAGCAAATGAACCAAGTTTTTGTGACGAGCTTGCCCAATCGCAGTCATTTCTGCTTTAAATTCCCTTTCTCCTTCATCCCCGATTTTCTCCAGTCGTTTTACAGAAACTGTTCTGTTACCTTCTGATAGAATTCCTTTATAGACGTTCCCGAATGAACCATGCCTTATCTCTTCCTTGAAATGTTCAGTGGCTTTCTCAAGCTCACTGTAAGAAAATGATCGAAGAGTGAACTCCTCATTTGGCCCCAAATATGGATTTTCCAATAGCTTTTGGTATTCGTCCGCTCTGCTTCTGTAGAAAATATAACTGAAAATTGCAAAAACAGTGAACAGAAATGCTACAGAACCAAGAACCAGGGATAGAATCAATATTATCTCTTTCCGACTTTCATTTCTATTCCCTGTTTTTCCAGGATAGGGAGTAGAGTGACCTGCCATTTGGGAGATGTTATAGCTCTGCTTGATGAAACTCTTGATGGACTCATCATTTTGTTCAATTGTCGAATCAATTAATGGAAGCTTAAATTTGCTGCAAACTCCATTCATGTATAGAGCAGCCCAACAAGTACAATCATCCAAGCAAGAATTTCTACAGTCCTGCTCAACCATTGAAACCTGAGAAAATGGATATCCTCCAACTTTCAAGTGTTGAATCGCCGTGACATTGTAGGCCAATGTTGAGTCTCTGCTGCTTCCACAAGACTCTTCATAAACGAATCCCCGATAGCAGCCTTGGAATTTCATTGCACGGTTGACATATGAAAATCCAGGAAAACAAGAACAATCGCCTATGCTGCTGCCATTTTTTGCAGTACAATAACTGTTTAAACCACAGAATCCCCTGGCTTTGCATTGATTTTCCAGCGCTGACCAATTGATTTCCAAGCTTGAGTTGTCGAAGTTATGTGTATAAAGCCTAAAAATCCCATCAGGATCAAGAGTTGCGCGATAAATTGCTGCTGCTTTGTTGGTTGATGATTGATTAGAGGTATTCGCTATGGTATTGACTTGGAAACGAAAACCATTAGAAGCATTCCGAAAGAGTTGGCCTGTTGGAGTAAGACCTATGAAAACTGAGCTAACTTCACCAAATTCACCTCTGGTTTGTAGCATAAAACCCCAATAGGAAGCCTCAGGTCCATTTAGATAATTGGTTGGGTAGGCAACAAGGTTCCCATCAGCCTGCATACTAAGATAAAATCTTCCACTTGAATGATCAACTTCAGTAACACTAGAGACAAGGCTCTGGCCTAATGTTAGACGCTGACCGGCTAGGATGGTGTCTGTTGGATAGTCAAAACTTTCCCAAACAACATTTGTTTTGTTATAGATAACAAAGTTACCAGAATCAAGCATGGATGCTGAAGTTACTGGCTTTGGAGATTCTGCAATGACTTTCTTGTTCTGTTTTGTCCATAGTAAGAGTTTGCCTTCCTTTGTGAACTCGATATATGCATCCGAATGAAGTGGAGGATCATCTCTATTCGCAGTCCAAACAACAGTTTTATCAGGTAGCCATATGCCAACTTGAAATCCATCCCCTTTTTGGTAGAAACCAAATGAGAAAAGACCTGAAGAAGATGGCCAATAACTTGGATTTCGGTTCGGATAAAGAAAAGAACCTAAGGTTATGTTGGAGGGCTGTTGCTGAGCTCCAACTTGAATAGCTGCAAATACAAATGGAAGCATCAACAACATGAAAGTAAATGCTAAGTTAGCCATGACACAAGGATGGGAATATGGATATACTCTTTGATAAGTATTCTTTTGTATACTAACTTGGACATCTCCAATTTTAAATGGTAGTATTACTCCCTTTGTTCACTTTTAATTGTCATGTTTTCTTTTTTTAGGGTCAAATGATAAGAACTTTGATTAACATTTTACCATGTATTTTTTCATCATATCGAAATGCAAAAAATTGCAATTTATAGTACTTTTCGTATTGTTTTTAAATATCTAAATTTTTTGTTTAATCAAATTAGTGTAATATAATTTAACTTTAAAAATTAGTCAAATTAACTTTCGAAATACATAACATGACAATTAAAAATGGACCGATAGAGTAATAATTAACACGTTGACACTTGACACGAATTAGGTAACAACTGAGTCGTCAACATCATGTTAATATTTTCCAAAACTCTAACAATTGAAAAGTTGAGAAATGAATGATGCAATGCAAACAAAGTCTTAACAAGGAAGTTTCTTAGGGAGACGTTATGTATTTCCTTAGTCAATTCTTATATGATTGTTCTATCTTCACTTGCGTGTTGGATGGTATAAGTTTGTCTTTTGCGCGTAGAGGCACAACTAGTGTCAGTTCTGTGAGGGGCTCTTTAATTGACATTTGTACACGTGGGTCCCATAATTTACCCATTTCATTTCCTCACTTTTGTCATTCATTTGTAATCTTTTCTTTTACCTTGTCTTTTTTCCTAAGTATATTTTTTTGCTTAACTTTTAACGTTATATTTTATATTTTAATAAAAAATTGATATGACCAAATCACAAACAGACCTATAAAAATATTAAATTTGAGGCTTTGATGAATGAAAATACTTAGTAAGAAAATAGTAAAATTTAGCGTAATTGATTGACTACCTGAACTTTTGATTCGATTTTTCATATTGTAATATAATCCCTTCCCCATTTCCCCTTTCCCTATCCCCAGTTTTTCGTTTTTTTTTCAAAAATAATTAAAAGGCATATCTGAACAGAAAAATAAAAAATACTCCCTCCGTGGCTCCGTCCCTTTTTACTTGTCAGATTTTAACTTGACACACATATTAAGAAAATAATAATTAGCATAGTGAGTTTAACATTTTACACCTATTAATTAATAGAGTCTTAAACATAGTTACTCACTACATTTTTCAAATACATTAATTGAATGTTAATAATTGAGGGTATAATAGGAAAAAAATTGTTCTTCCTTGATTTGTCAAAAATGATAATTAAAAAGAAAAATCAAATTATAAAAATACTTGACAAGTAAATACTCCCTCCGTCCACATTTATTTGTCATGTTGCGCAAGTTAATTTGACCAATTTTCAAAATTAAATTAGATTACATTAATTCGATATCTTAAACAAAAAATTTAGATATTAAAAAACTATTATAAATTGCAACTTTTTGTATATAAATATGATGAAAAAATACATCGTAAAATACTAGTCAAA